AAAAAACAGATAGATTAAAATTAGTAATTCTTTATACTATGCATATGGATGGAGGTGAGGTGCTGTTTGTTTTTTCGAAGCAAAAATGTCTTAAGTCTGCGGATTACCTCTGCAATCCTCTGTAGCAGAAGAGGTGGAACAAAAAGCTGCAGCATTTAATAAAAAATCTGTTTGTTTTTTAACGTCTGCAGTAAGTTAAAGTAAGGCGCGAAGAGATTTGAAGCAGTTGGTTTAGTGCTGCACCACGCAGCAGACGCGCAACAGTTTTTAAATCAGAAGTATTCAGAAAGAAAGGCTAAATGCTGCGTTTGCTGTTTGAAGTGGGTTTTTTTTTTTAAAAAAAACAAACACCACGTGCGACGGTCCAATACATCTCAGTCAATCTCATCCGTCAATATTTACGGTTAATCGGAGTTTCAAAGCTCCTCCGTACGCTTCCTTCTTCTTCTCCCCGACGTTCACAGTCGGTTGTAACTTCCACAACCGTTCAATCGGTTTAAATTTTCTTCGATTTTCTCCCAAAAGCATACGAGATCGTCTACAACCTCTTCCCTAACTTCTTCGTCTGCTTTAATCACTCCTCTTTTATCTCCCACAATCGCTAACCTCTTCCGATCACATTTCCTTCTTCTTCAACTTCTCCATTCGCTATATATTTAAATCGGTTCTTCCATTGAAATTCTTTGTTTCTCCTCACTATCTCCTCCATCGGAACCTTACTTAGAACCAACAAATTGAGCTTTATCACTGCATCACCATCAAACCACCATCGTATTTGTATAGAAAACCTAATTCTGATGATTTAATTATCTTCGCACATCAAATCCAAGGAGAAATTACAAGGATCGTAGGTAGAAAAAAATTCAATTTGAATTCGTGAGGACTAGTTTTGCGTCTTTCGATTTAAGGTAAAATTCCTACATCCCATAGTTTGATAAACGGTTATGTCTTCTTATTATATTTCATGTGTTCATCTAATTTCTGGTCGAATCTGTTTGTTTGCCTTCGTGGACTTGTTATTTTCGATTCATTCGTCATTTGGGTTAGATTGGTTGCTTCAGTTTTGCATTTTATTTTGTATCAATGACTCATTCCATTACCTTTCAGACTGCTTGTTCCTTTCCTTTATGGCTTTGTCGCAGGTCGATGATGCTATTATTGAAGTTTCTCTTAGAGGGAAAAACAATTCAAGAAATGTGTTAATACACTTTTGTGTTTATTTTTTATTCATCTCATTATTGATCAATATTTTTTGATAGAAAATGGTTTTAAAATCCCTTTCTTTTTTACCTGAAATCTGGTTACCATTGCACATTCAAGATCCTACTATGTGTGGCATTACTTCTCTTGGATTTTATCACATGGCAATTCTTGACGAGTTCTCTTCACATAGTATAACATTTTTATGAAATAGTAAAATAACCCAAATCAAAACATTCATAGGTAAAAGGTCAAAATACACATCTTTATCTCTTAACCCTTGAGCCCTTAAGAAGTCTAATATAGTGGTTAGTGCTTTAACTGTAGGAGATACTCTTGAAAAGATTGCTTCACATAAAGCTGGGGTATTTAAGGTACAAACGAGAAAGAAGTAGGTACATTCAAACTAATCTACTTACTTGTCTCTTATAGTTTTCCATTGTTAAGTATTTTTTTAAGAATTAATGGCACATGAAGTTCGCATCCATGTGTGAATTCTCCAAACAAGAGTTCATTTGTCGCTTGCAATCTCGTGGATGGGTAATTACAGTTTTGAAAAAAAAAATACATTTTCTTACTTAATTAGGAGCGGATTTAGGTCATCAATACACTGATAGAAGTGGCAGATTAAAGGTACTTGATGATTGAAGAACATGGAAGGGGAATGTGTATGATCAAGGGGTTTAATGGAAGAACAGTGAAGGGGAACATGTATGATCAGGTAATGATCATTTAAAATTTTGTGGTTAGCTTGCTAAATCCATTTCATCAATTTGTGTTGTTTTATAGGTATAAATGAGGAGCTAAAAAACACAAGGGCTTTATTAGAGTGTGCTTAGTGGGTAGTTTTTCACTTATAATTTATTTAGTTTTTTGTAGACCAGGAAAAAGTATTTGCTTAGCAATGTTTATATGCATGGTCAACAGGATTGCTCATTTTTATTTATTTATTTATTTATTTATTTATTTATTTATTTTTATAGATTTTAGCTGAAGTCAATCATGTTTCACCTGTATTTGACCTATGCAAGGTATAGCTTTTTAGGGTCCGAGACACTTTCCCTTTGGAAGGGGTATTTAGCCAGGAGAAGTTTAGAAAATCTAGAGCTTATAGTCATTATTAAAGGTATTTAATTTTCACCAACATATTTTTTCTTCTCCTACAAATGCATGTTCATCAATTGATATGTTCTTTTTGTTTTCAGTAACTTCCACTTCAATTATAATGTTGTAACAATAGTGATGATGGACACTATTATTTTGCTATCATGGGGTGTCTTGCCTTTGTTCTAGAAGGTGGGCAGTTTTTTTTTTTGGTAAAGGTTGTAACAAGTTTAAGTCATATTTACTCATATTAACATTTTATCATACCTTTTGAGTAACCATAGAAATCAGGTGATATATATATATATATATATATATATATATATATATATATATATATATATATATATATATATATATATATATATATATATATAACAAGAAAAGAAAATTCATAAAGAAATTAAGATATAATGGCATTTTTTATTTGAATCATAAAAAGAATAGCAAATTCATAAACAAGCACACAGATCATAGGGTTGACTATTGATAATGATTTCTCTATTATGAGTTTTATTTCTTTACTTCAATAACGTGCAAGGAAAAATTCATTTTATGATCTTCATAATGTATGTATTTTTTTAGTAAGAAATACCTTTTGTCACTAACCTAAATATTTCTTGTAAATATCATAGAAACTACATTCATTTGGTGAAAAATAAAATCGATCTATTTTTTTGAATCCATCAACCCAACCAACAGGCAGATATAACACTAGTTTTAGATAATAATCTGTTGAAGTGCTTACTTATTCATTATTTTATTTAGAATATGTCAAAAGTCTTTTTTTTAGTATAAAGCGAAGTACTTATTTATTCATTATTTCAGTCATATTTATTTCAGAATTTTACTTTAAAAAATACTTAATGTTTAAACATTTATATTTAATATTTTTTTAATCAACTCACCCACCTCTAACAATTAAGGGTGGAGTTGACACGATACCAATTTATTTTTCTCTAAACCATATACCGTACCAACTATAATTGGTATAACAACATTACTACCGGTACCATACTAAGCATATTTGGTACCAATATATTTGGCTACCAACAAGTTTGGTTGGTACAAATTGGTAATGGTATATACCAATTCTTTTAATTTTCTATTGTAAGGTTTAAAAATAAACAAAGACATCAGGTAATTTTGATGTTTACTATAGAAATCATTTACGTAGTTCTTTTAGTTTATAAAAAATTCTAATAAAGTAACGCTAAAGTAACAATTTAATTTTGTGCGTTAACGTTGTAATAAGTATTAACTAATGCGACAAAATAACTTATATAATGTTCTTAAAACTGTAAACACTAAACATAATTAACAATTGAAATATACGAGTTTATATATATATATATATATATATATATATATATATATATATATATATATATATATATATATAAAATAATTGAATTAGTTGGTACGGTATTACCATTATATTCAAACTTTTATACAATTATCGTTCCAACATTTCTCAATTGGTACAGTTGGCTACCAAATATATTGGCTGCCAATTTTTTTGGTTCGGTTGGTAACATGTTGATTGGTTTTCCATGGTGAGCCCTACTAACAACTAGTTAATTGGAATGTATGCAAACAATATTAGGCTGTAGAGGAGAGGCCCTCAAACATGTTTAATCGTTTACGTGTGTTGGATAATGATGCTAAAGTTCGATAGATAATTTAGTTGTTGCTTAAAAGTTAAAAGTTATGTTCTACCAGATCAAATCCTTATTTTCTAATTTGTTTATTTTGTCGAGAATTTATATTTCGTTTCCTTCTTATAATAGTCTTTAGAATTGTAGAATCACAGTTTTTGATGAGTATGAAAATAAATAGAGCTAATCTCTATTTTCTAAAATCTTCATTTCTTTTTACGAGGTTTGAATTTGGAGAGTTCCTCTTTCCTTTTATTAGAGACTGAAGCAGTGGTTCTTTTCTCTTGTATTTTCGTTCTAAGTGAGAAACCTCAGTTTCTTTTTGGGGTTCATCTTCATTATCTCTTCGACCAGTTTTTTTTCCAGCACTTACTTTCATATCATTGAATACTTCCTCAATTAATCCCAGACAACCTACTTACTGGTTATCGTACCCATTTTCATCACTAATTTTTCGAATAATCCTGTTACTAAAATTAGGCACTCTTTTTTTTTTAGTAAATTACTGAAATCGTCCCTGTGGTTTGGTCAAAATTGCACGTTTGATCCCTAACTTTTTTTTTGCACTCAGATCGTCCCTGTGGTTTTATTTTGTTGCGTTTTTCATCCCTATGGTTTGGTAAAAATTGCATGTTTGGTCCCTAACTTTATGTGTGTAAGGGACGAAAAATGCAACAAAATCAAACCACAGGGACAAAAAACGCAACAAAATCAAACCACAGGGACGATCCGAGTGCAAAAAAGTTAGAGACCAAACATGCAATTTTGACAAAACCACAGGGACGATTTCAGTCATTTACTCTTTTTTTTTTTTTTGGCACCGAATGGAATCCATTGCTTATATACACAAGTAACACAGCTCAAAAATAATTTTGATAACCGAGTGAAGTCAAACGAATCCTTGAATATGTTTATATATATCTGATATACACAATCTTAATGAATCCCAAGGTAAATTATGTTTTATTGTTGTTTACAAAAATATGATGAATTTGAATTTCTGTTGCTAATGTCCAAACCTGGAATGACATTGTTTGTTTACATCTTGTGACCAGCATCAGCTGAGTTGAATGTTTTGTACTCGGCTGCAAGTAGATCAGTTGGATGATTGCCATGAAACCCTCCAAACTGATAATACGATGATAGCAACCTTGGAAGAATCTCATCAATCTTTCCTGAATGCTCATCATGCCGATCCATCTCAATAAGATCCTACACATGTAATATGTAAAAACCACACATTCAGGAGAACGAGAGGGAGAGGAAAAAAAAAGACCGATTTGCGCCACTTACTTGTACGGCTTTGTTGTTGAAAAGTGGCAAAAACTTATGGCGACAATACAAGTTGAAAAGGGCAGTGAAGATGATGAGTACAAAGGCAAGGGTTGATGCAGTGCCAAAGTTTTTCATTCCAAAGATAATTGAAGCTACTGCCTGCATCACTATTAAAGAAAAGATTGCAGCATTATGTGCAATTGGCCAATAACTTCCATTCGTATTGTATCTGGTGATATAGACGTTCAGGAGCTGCAACACATCAGATTCATCATTTCATGTAGAAATTAAGATCAATGAGTTTCAAACCTATTTATTCTAGTACTAATAGTTGGGTTTAATCTAAAGAGCTAAATGCATTTTTTTTATTGTATCATCTTACTTCCATTTCTTTCTATTATGACGTTGTACTTTCAGTTTCTTCTTATAAGAGCATTGTACATTGAAAAATATATCCAATTTTAGATATGAAAGCATTTGATTAGGACATTATAATTTAAAAAAACTTTACACATATAGAAATGAAAATTTATTTAAATTTGGATGGCATTAATAAAATTAAAGTATGATGTTGTAATAGGAACAAATGAAAGTAGGATGCTATGATAAACAATTCAATGAAAATGTGCTGCTATTTCTTGCATTTAAATATTTAATCCTAATCTAAGTCCATAAAGAATATAAAGAAAATTGTAAGGCAAACTATGTTTTCCTATTTCATACGTGTTTACATCTTGCTTAAAGATCCATGAAGACTACTAAGCAAACATTGAAGCAAACCATGTTTGCCCATTTCATATTTAAAAACATTTACCATATTTAGTAGGGTTAAATGAAAGAAATAGCAGCATACTTTTACTGATTTGTTTATTATAGTATCCTATTTCCTTTTCTCCCAATTACAACATTGGCATTTGAAAAATCTACCTAGTCATAGTAACATCATCCATTACAAAGCAATATTCACCACTATAGATGGGTAGTTTTTTCAAAATATGACCTAATAAGAAAAATATTATAAGTCTAATTCTATAAATGGTCAGATTTTCAAAGTACGACACATGAATGAGAAAAAACTGAAACTACAATGATATAATAGAAAAAAATATATATGAAATAAGATGCTATAATAAACAAATCAATGAAAGTATGTTTCTGTTTGTTGCATTTAGCCCTATTTGCTAACCCTTCTTAACATCAATTAGTTTCAAATCTATATTTTGTGGTAGTTGGGCTTAATCTAGACCACAAAATGTCGTTTTTCTCATTAAATGAAAGTATGTTGCTATTTTTCTGACAAAAGAGACTAAAAATCATAGTTTTGTCTATCCTTCCTGGATTGATTCATTAGTATGCTACATAGAACTGGAGTTTATATCAAATCTTAAGAGTTGATTAGTGTTTTAACACATTACTCTCCACCCTTAGACCCCATTTGTCATAAATTATATGACATAAAAGAACAACTTGTATTACGTTTAATGTGCATGAGATGATGTAATTGGGACAAATATTGTAATTTTTTATCCAACCCAAAAAGATGGGACAGGGACTTGTTCTCGATCTTTCATTCATGTGTGCAAAATATGTGAATACCATTTTCATCCTCATCTAAATGCAAATGATGAGGTCATTCACATCTTTTTCATAAACGAGAGACTCCTTTCCCCAAACTATTTGGGTCAAACAAAAATTATAATTTGTTATCTCACCTAAAAAGGTGGGACAAGGACTTGGGACTTGCTATTGATCTTTGGTCAGTACAAAAGACATAAATCCTCCTCATCCACATTTATATGTAAACGATGAGGAAGGCATACGTCTTTTCCGATCACCAATGCTTACCAAACACAGTTAGAGGCCATATGTTCTATAGCCACAAAGTCAAGTAATATAAGCACCAAAGTCCATGGCTTAGATTATTCTAAGGTGGAAATGAAGTGCGAACCTGATTTCTGTAGACAAAATAAGCGAAGAAGTAGTAAACAAGCAGGAAAGGTAATATCAATGGTGCCAAAATGCAAAATGTGAATCCAAGGAGTCCAAATAGAAGGGCCCTTGGAACTTCAGTGTGGTAAGGGAAAGTGTAGAGGTCACCATAGCCCTCTTTCCTCAACAGAACAATCTGATAGATCCAGTTAATTATAAGGACAAATGGTTGCATCAATTCATATGCCAAACTCGCCCATCCTGTAGTCATAATGTATGTCATAAAGAAGGGTGCCTGCAAAAAATATATGAAACAAAGAATTGGATAAAGGATTGTATTTTGTTAGCTAACTAGACAAAGCAAGTATCAACCTCGAGATTTAGGGTGGGCTGTTATATTCTAATTTCATTTTCTTCCTATTAAAAAAGTGTACTTTCAAGGATCTACCCAATTATAGCAATGCCATCCAAATACAAAGCAATTGTCATTGCTATAATTGGAAGGATTTTTCAAAGTACAACTTAATAAGAAAAAATTTGAAATGAAATATTGTATTAGAAATAAATGGAATCGTGATGCTATCATACACACATAATTTAGTATGTTGCTATTTCTTGAGTTTACGTGCAAATCTATCAAACAATGTCCATGGGGGGTCGTAATAGTCCATACAAGGCCTTCGTTAACTTACATACTTACGTTTTGCCAAATTCTTTTCATATCTCGGTGGCAGGTCCACATAAATCTCTCACAACATTTTTTTTTGTAAACATGCATTTTTTATATTAAATGCTCCAAGTTGTAGCCATAATTAGTTTCCAATGATAACAAGATTCTCATTATGTAGATCATTTCAATCAGGGAAACGTCTCAAGGTATAATGTTCTAAAAGGTAGAAATTAAATCAAAACCGGATCTTTAAAAGTAATCAATGAAGGCACATAGTGAATTGTTCCAACAATCATTTTTGAAGTCTACTCTAATGGCCCATCAATCATGCAGGAAACAACAATATACTTAAGTCTCGCAACCAAAAATGAGCAATGTACTTTGTTTCTTATTGATATTAGCAATGTACTTACATTTTTTTTAACATTAACAACCATATCTTTACCAATAACAAAATTATATAACTTAAAATTTGTAAATTTCTTACAATTTTCATGTTACATATTATCCGTAAAGTAATTAAGTACTTCACTATATGTGTAAGGAATTTTAAGTACGTTGCTATTATGTGTAGAGAAATGTAGCTACTTCGCTGTAACAACTATCACATGTTTTAGATCACCTATTGCTAAAAATGGCAAGTAGGTTATGACTATGGGTAAAGAGGTGCAAGTACATTGCTATTACCTTGAAAAGGTAAAATACATTGCCTATATTATTTCCTACAATTTGCCCTAATTAGTAAATATATTAAGGAGAAAATAGATTAGAAAGAAAATTTACCTGCCCAGGGATCAAATTGCCAAGAAGGGTAGCCATGTCTTTTAGACCAGTAACAGTAAGTTTACCCATGCGATCCCACCAACTACCGGTGAAAAGGTTATAGAAGAAAATATTCCAAAAAAAGAAAATAATACATTTGCAGCAAGCACTCTTTTTCCTTGAACTACGAGAGACAGTTCCTTCGAGTGTAGCAAACATCAGCATTATCGGTGGCACGATTAAAACAAAACAAGTTAGCACAAGACTTGGCAGATACCCCGAAACTATGTTTGCATATTTCCTGCAACATTCATAAATTATATTGGCAAAAACTAAAAAAGTAAAGTAGCTATTTCCTACAATTAGAACTAAACATATTTACTAATTGCATACCTAAAGGTTTTATTATGAATGTTTTGTTCTATAATTATACTACACCATAAAAAAAACAAATAGGTTGTGTTTGTTATATGGGACACGTCTGGATAGGACTGAACAAGCTTTTTACAGTCATCTTCAAGCCTAAACGCAAGAAGATATAACAATGTATTTCTATTTATCTACGTATTATAACATCCTACTTCTATTACTTTCTATCATTGCTTCGTACTCTTACTTTTTCTAGTTAAGGCATTGTTGTTTTGAAATTATATCGATTATAGGAATGGGCATTGAATTTTTTTTCTTATTAGGACATTATACTTTGAAAAATCTAGTCAAGTTATAGTTTTGTATTTTGATGTCATTTAGGTAGATTTTTAAAGTATAATGTTGTACTATGAAGAAATGGAAGTAAGATGCTATATTAAACAAATATGAAAGACATTGTTGTTTCGTGCCTTTAACCATATTTCCAATAAGGATAAGGAGGGCATTAATGTCTTGCAAAGACAAGGGATCGAGAATGATTCGGTTTCGCATCATGCTACATATGTTTTCATGAAAAATTCAAAATTCAACTCTTTACCTGTCTTCGGAACAAGAAAACCTAACTTGTGAATATTAGTTATATCTTAACGCAAACTAGATATGGTTATTTTAGTTATTTATTTATTTATATTTTTTTTTCGGGAGGAGGGGGGATATTTTATTCTTGGTAACTATGGCTATGATATAAAAATGTTATTTGGTTAAATTCAAAAAATAGCAAGATACTTTTATTAGAGAATCCTACTTTCATTGCTTTTAATTACAACATTATGCTTCAAAAATAGCTACACATTTATAGCAATGTCATTGAAATACAAATAAATTTCAACTGCTATAATTGGGTAGTATTTCAAAGTATAACATCATAATAAGAAAAACAAAATTGAAAGTGCATTGTTATAGTTAAGTAGATTTTTTGAAGTCTAATTTCATAATAAAAAATACAAATGTTGTAATAGAGAGAAATAAAAGTATAATGCTATAATAATAAGTAAATGAAAGTTGCATTGCTATTTCTTCCATTTAGCTAGCTAATAATTTGTATGATTGTACTAGTGTTTTGGGATCAGTAGAAGAAACAAAAATATACATTCATTTACTTGTTCATTATAGCATCCTGCTTTCATCTTTTCTAAAAACAACATTGTAGTTACAACATTTTCCTTATTAAAGCATTGCATTTTGACAAATCTACCTAATTCAACTTTTTTTCTTATTAGGATATTGTGCATTGAAAAGCATATCTAAATATAGCAATGACAATTAATTTGATTCAGACATCATTGCTATAATTGGGTAGATATTTTGATGCATAATGTCCTCGTACATTGAAAATGGAAAGTAAATAGTTATAATTGGCAGATTTTTCAAAGTACAATGTCTTAGTAAGAAAAAAATTAAGAACAAAAATCTTGTAATAGAAATAAATAAATGTAGGATGTTACAATACACAATTAAAAGGAAGTGCATTAGCTTGATAATAATTACATTCTCATAGTTGCTTTTCTGGTAAAATCAAGAGATAGTAATTTCATTTGTCTTGGTATATTCTTTCCTTATTAAAGCATTGTATAGTGAAAAAAATCTACCTAGAGCATTGTACTTCCAGTTTTTTTTGTTATTATGGTATTGTACTTTGAAAAAGCAAGAAAATTATAGCAATTAAATTAATTTGTATTTGGATGCACTTTCTATAATTGGGTAGATTTGTCAACGTACAATGCTCTAATAGAGAGGAAATGAAAGTAAAATGCCATAATACATAAACAAATGAAAGTATGTTAGCATTAATCCTTGTGTTTTCACCTAAGTGCATGGAAACTTACGCACGTTTCTGATATCCCTCTGAGGAATGGAAAAGTGTCCTCGAGTTGATCAAGATTAACAAGACCTTGAACTAATGTTGTAGGCAAAAGAAACCACACACTGAAGATAATGGTGCCTATAAACACGGATGTTTTACGGATCCAAAGCATTCTATAAGGTAGACAAAGGTTTTCCCAGTAAACATCATGTGGTTCAGGAGCAAAGTCTATGACCCATAACATTGGATCATATGATTGGATGGTTTTTGAAGCCACCATAGCTGCATATCTTGTCCTGAAAAACACAAACGCTGCTGCACACTCCTGTATAATCATGGGAAATCATTAAATACAAGAAATATTAATTGTACCTTTTTTGATTTATTCATTATAATGTCATACTTTTATTTTTCCTATTACAATGAGAAATCAATAACATGATGACTTAATTTTCTACTTTCTACAAGAAGCACCGTTAAATGCAAGATAAACACAAAGTCTAAATCTCATTAATTAACAGGAAGACAGAAACTCCACACAAATAAGACACCTTTGCAGTGCAATTTCTAGCATTGTATTTTTAACATTTTCCTTAGCAAGGAATTTTCCTGATAAGTCCTAAACCTTTCTAGTCTACAAAAGGAAGAACGGGAAACCCAAGAAGGATGCAGCCCGATAATTCCATTTAAATGAAGTCCAATTTACTTTTTAAGCTTTTGTATTTTATTATTTTGTTTAGCTAGATTGATATCCGTTAAGGTAGTGCCCTCAACATATCCCACCAACACCACAATTACCAACACTCGACGACCCCTTGGAGAACGACGATTGTCGGAAGCTTAGATCTCAGACAAACGAGCAAAGGGGTTATGTTATGAATGTGATGAGAAGTGGAACCCAGGTTATAAATGCAATGCCCTATTCAATATAATTTTGATTGACGAAGAAGAGTCCATCCCAAAAGAAGATTATGTGAACGAATCGATCCTAGAGGAGGAAATTATTCTCGATATGACAAAAATGATGAACCTATTGAGGTATCGCTGAACTCAGTGTCTGGTCTTTCCTCTCCTAAAACGATGAAATTACAAGGAGTGGTTATGGCGCAACAGTTGTAGCACTGATTGATCCCAGAGCCACACATAATTTCACCGCGACTACGCTGGTAACCAGATTAGGACTTCTAGTCAAGGACACGGAACCCTAAGGGGCACGGATGGTTACCGATGACAGTGAAGCTGGCTCATGGCGTTTTTGTGTGGATTACCAAGCCTTGAACTAATCCATAGTACCTGATCAGTTTCCAATTCCTGTGATTGACGAACTTCTGGATGAGGTAAATGGGTCGGTGGTCTTCAACAAGTTGGACTTATGCTCAGGATACCACAAAATCAAAGTGAAGGCTGCTGATGTTCACAAAACAGTCTTCCAGACTCACGACGAACACTACGATTTCAAAGTAATGCCCTTTAGCCTTTCTAACACCTCTACTACATTTCAACTACATTTTAGGTCTGATGTAGGCAGTACCTTCGTAAGTTCATCCTCGTGTTTTTCGATGATATCCTCATATCCAACCCCTCGGTAAAGACTCACATGCGTCATGTAACTATGTCCTTAGAGAAGTTGGAGCAACACCAACTCTACTTGAATCTCAAGAAGCATGACTTTAGGAAAAGAAGATTGTCATACCTGGGGAATGAGATTTCATCAGGAGTGAAAGCGAAAGACTCCTGATACAGAAGTGGCCATCTCCGAAAAACATCAAGGAACTCAGGTCGCAATGACTACAGTCCCTGCTCTCGCCATGCCTGATTTCAAGAAGACCTTTGTGGTGGAAACAAATGCATCGATTTTTGGTCTTTGAGCCATCTTAATGAAAGACGATGAATCCTGTAGCTTATTACAGTTTCACCTTGGGACCACACGCACAATTGAAGTCTATATATGAAAAGGAACTCATGGTCACCGTTAAAGCTTTGCTAAAGTGGAGGCATTACTTGATGGGACGAAAATTCATTGTCCGGACGGATGAGACCAGCCTAAAGTACTTGTTGGAACAACGGGTGGTTGGGCAAGATTACTAAAAATGGGTCTCCAAGATCATGGGGTTCAACTTCGAGATCCAATACCGAATAGGTGCAAGCAACAATGTAGCAAATGCCCTATCATGAAAGGATGTACCCGTTGACTGTAACACTCTCAGCATCGGTGTGTGGAGCTCTTGGGAAAAGCTGAAGGAAGAAATTAAAAATGATGAGTTGCTGTAGAAAATCACCCGAGAGTTGCTATTGGACCCAAACCCCTATCGATGCAGTTGATGTTTTGCTAGAAGATAGACACGCCATCCTGGATGATTTGTGAATGAATTTACTGAGAGCTCAACAAAAAATGCAACAACAAGCTGAGAAGACAAGGAAATAAGTGCACTAATCAAGAAGGAGATTGGGTTTATTTGAAGCTAAATCCTTATCGACAACAAAGTTTGGCAAGAAGAAAATTTGAAAAACTAGCTGCACGCTACTATGGCCCTTATCGAATTCAGAAGAAGGTGGGGAAGGTGGCGTACATACTCAAATTACCCCTTCAGCTCTCATACACCCCCACCTTCCACGTGTCGGAATTACGTCCGACATATGGAACGGTGAAGAAACCAACATAACTACCATTTTAGCTCAAAGAAGATCTACATCTATTGGTGCAACTAGAAGAATTGAAAGGGGTAAGGCCTTCTAAGGGAAGCTCCTCGAATGAAAAGGAGGTTCTAATTCAATGGCAAGGGTTGACCGAGTTTGAAGCCACCTGGGAGGATTGGGAGAGGATGGACCAGCAATTTCCAAGTTTTCACGTTGAGGACAAGGTGAGAGTTTTGGCTGCCGGTGTTGATAAGCCCCAAACCTTTCTAGTCTTCAAAAGGAAGAACAGGAAGTTCAAGAAGGGTGCAGCCAATTCCATTCAAATGAAGTCCAATTTACTTTTTAAGCTTTTGTCATTTATTATTTTGTATAGATAGATTGATATATGTTAAGGTAGTGCCCTCAACATTTTGTGTTGGTCAGTGTAGCAGTGGGAAACCACCTTTTTGGTCTGGTCTGGTGAGGTGGCACCCTTTCTAGTATTTATATCCGTTTTGCTTGTTCTAGAATGACATAGAAGAATATTAAAGAATTGAATTCTTGGAGAGCCCAATC